CGCTCATCAGTTTTTGGGCACATGCACTTATTGGAATAACCTTAAAGCTTGTTCATTAATCTTGATTTTGGTTTTAAAAAACTACCATCTATCTTGATAAAAGTTCAGATATTTTCGCTGAAGGAGGTTGTGGTCGCCTTGTGTTAATGCTATAATTAGTAAGAAAATGGCAGCCAAAGTTTGATGGCTTCCAAGGTTATAGTGTCCTTGCAAAATGCAAATAGTATATCTGTGCCCCTGTGGTCGACGTTTTTCAGTAAAAATCAAAGCAGAGATGTGTTTTACGTTAACATTTAGGGGTTTGAGTGTAAAGTATAATTCGATAAAAATTGTAACCAAGCGGAAAATTATTGGTTTCTCTGATTTAATTTTTTGACCAGCTCTTGCTTTCACCCCGAAGGCACACAAATTAAATAGCAATTGTTTGGCACAAATTTCCGCTCTATGCGCTTTACAGTCTATATTATTTCCACATCAAACCTGATAGTGATAGCATTCTGAAACAATCTCAGCTGCCAGAGAAACTTACTGTGCAAGTAGCCATTTTTACAGGCTCTAAAACACTAACTCACTGACTAGATCTAACATGCACACATACTACATAAATAGCAACGGTAGCAGGAACCACTTAATCATACTTTATTCTTATGGGTTTGAATGCCATGCATTTTGGCATCACGTTAGGGAAATAAAAAGCATTTTATGACAATAATTCTATGTTGGAGCGCTGCTTAACTTCTCAAATGTCAATTTGTTAAACAGTTTTGTAGCTTGATATTAAGATTTAAAACGAACTGTTTTGAGCCATACAATGTTAGTATATATCTCCCGGATAATATGACCTAACAATCAATAGTTCTAGACCATTGGTATTTATTGACTTTTGCAGTCTAGCACTGTCTCATAGTTGTTTTTGTCACTGTCTAAAATCAACGAAAGGCGTACACATGTGTAGGGTAGTGGGCGAGGAAGACAAGGAAAGAGTACGAGAAAGAGATAGAGAGAACGAGAAAGAGAGAGATAGAGAGAGACATACAGACAGACAGACAGTCAGACAGACACAGACAGACAGACAGACAGACAGACAGACAGACAGACAGACAGACAGACAGACAGAGTGTGGGAAGGGAGTAGAGAGAGACAAAGGTAGAAAGAGAGAAAGAAGTGTAACTAAAGCCACACTTATGATCAACCTCTTCATTACCTGTAAGGTGAATACACAGCCTCAGATTTGCCCATGGCAATTTTCTGGTACAGACGTTGAGAGAAACCAGCATTAGCCTTTGACAGATCAGCGATTCCATCCCCTTGTCTGGCAGGAACTGCCAACGTGGCAACAGCCACACAGGCCAATAAGATCAACATAGACGCCATTTTGGAAAACTGGCGGAGGAAAGAAAATGACTTTATCAATATGTAGTTGCAATCTTCTTGACTGTCTCCCAAAGTTCGGATCGTGCATGAAACACATCGAGAGACTATAAAAAATAAAGTTTGGGCACGGAATCAGAATGGAGTCGAAATAAGGAGCCTCTGTGGCACACAAAATGCGATTCGATGGCTTTGAAGAAAACATAAAGGTCAAGGAAAAGACAGATCAACGGAGTCAAAGGGACCCTTCAAAGAAAAAAAAACAACCTCGTAACAATTCAAACAGCAATACATCTGATCCACACCCAACAGTTACATACGTATCCCTTCGACACCTTATGGTATAATGGGACAGAAAAAGTAGAAAAGTAAAAAAACTTCTTGACTCACGAAATTATATGTCTATTATGGTAACGTAACGAATCTCAACCATCGGACTTGTCGCAAAGGAGTTTCTACATGGAACATAAAATGTCACCTTTATCAACGACAACCCCGAAAGGTCAGCGAGATATGAGAAGTGCTGTTTGTGTGTCTGTGTGTGTTTGTGTTTGTATGTGTGCTTGTTTGTGTGTCTTTTTAATGCATGTGTGTCTATATGTTTATGTGTGTGTGTGTGTGTGTTTGTATGTGTATCTGTATATGTGTCTGTTTGTATATTTTGTGTATGCAAAGTTTGAGTGCAGGTGCGCGCGCACGCACGTGTGTGTGTGTACATGTGCGTAGGTGTTTGTTTGTATGTGTGTGTGTTTGTGTGTGTGTGGGTGTGTGTGTGTGTGTGTGTGTGTGTTTATGACTGTTTGCATGGTATGTGTGTGTATGTGTTCGTATATTTTGTGTGTGAGATTGTAAATGTGTTTGTGTGTGTGTGTGTTCGTATATTTTGTGTGTGTGTGTGATAGTGAATGTGTTTGTGTATGTGTGTGTTTGTGTGCAAGTGTATGTGTGTGTGTGTGTGTGTGTGTCTTTATTTGCAACGGTGTTTTTTGTACTTCCCTGAACGATCAAAAAAGGATATTAAGAAATAACAATTAAACAGTAACAAACAACAACAAAATAAAATATATTAAAAAATAACAACAATAAAAAAAATAACAACAACAAAAATAACTAG